TTCTTCCCGTTGTCGATTACGTCGTTATCCTGCGGGATGTACAACTCCCCGTCCGATGCATCTGACTCGGACTCATCGCCCGAGTCGCTTTCCGATGAATCGCCGTCGGAATCCTCCAAGCTCAAAAGCTTTGCTAGCACCGCCTTTGTCACGATCTTCCCGCCCACCGACGTCACCTCTTCGCCGCCCATCGGCATCAGCGTGCTCGCGTCCACATTGAACTCCGGGCCGGCATCCCACACGGCAACCTGTAGCGCTGCACCCGACGCTCCTTCAACCACGGTTTGTCCATTTATAGGTTGTAGCGCTGCACCCGACGCTCCTTCAACCACGGTTTGTCCATTTATAGGTTGGGTAGCGACAAGGGGCCCGCGAGCAGCGTCTGGTATAATGACGCTTTGGCGGTCCTCCGGGGTGTAACAAGTCGCGAGGTACTTGGACCACAAACCAAGCAGTTTTGCCAGCTCTGTGGGGCCCAGCCATTCTTGAAACGACAACGGTACGGGCGCGATATTCTTGCTCGTGCTGTAACTAATCAGGCATTAGTATCGGGATATCCGCCGTTACATGTGAACCTACCTCTTAGTGCTAATCTCGCCGTTTGACTCGTTCGTTGGTCCTCCCGCCAGCGTGAACAGGCGCATGAATGTCCTCTCCTCGCACCCTCGATTGATGTCACCAATAAAATTCTCCAAATTGCCCACCGCGCTACAAAATTCGTTAGTGTATTTTCCTCCACCATGAAATCAACAATACGTACGCTGCGCGATCCTCTGGTGCTCGCGAGGGCGGCGCTGTTAACAGCGCTTGATATTCCTCCTTCTTCCGGTCCCCCTCCGCCTTCGCGATGGTCTCGTATCTCTTCTGCTCCTCCTTCGGGAGCGCCTTCAACATTGCGTCCGTAACCTTGTTTCTGAACGCCACGTCCGGGAGCTTGCTCTTCTTGACTGTGACCTTCTCCCATTTCTCTGCGATGGCCTTTTTGATTTGCTCTTCCGTCTCCCGCCGAAAGATATGCGAGGCATGAGCCTGCTTCGGCGGCTTCGTCACGCCTGACAACCGTGCCATCAAAATTTCGTAGGTGTCTGTGGCGTCGCGACGCGTGAGCTTTCTGAAGCGCTTGCGGAATCTCCTCGCGTGATAAACAAGCCATCGCCGCAACACCTGTCGGGAGCACGTCGCATTCAGTCCATATTCATAAGTATCAGTGATATACACACGGTGTTAATCCTGGTAATGTGCGCGCGTTTCATCCTCAGCTCATCGTCTGTCAATCCCGAGTCGTCGTCAGGTACGACTTTGAGGGGATCGTATTCCTTCAGTTCGGCCGGCTCCTCGCTATCCTTCATGGGGTAGGGAAAGTGGAAGTGATACAGATTTTGGAGGACCTTCATGTACTCGTCCGCCGCCTGCCAACCAGTGTCGACGGTGTCTGCGAAGCGTGGGACCAAGGGCACAAATAACTTAGCCCTCATGCCTTCCATCCAGCCTTTACGATTCCCTCGCTCGCTCTTGGCCTTCTTCACGTACTTTTTCTTCCCGCCAATGTGCGGCGCTGTCGTGCGCGCCATCGTGTCGGATTGGTTCCCAGACTAAGTGGCGAGAGGAACTTGGCAGGACACGGGCGAATTATTCTAGAAAGAGCAACGTGCCATCTGCCATGCACTCCATTTCAATTTCCTCCCTCACCTTATCTAACTCAGCAGACTCGTTACCCGGATTCCCCATCTCTTTCTCTCTCATCAGCGCTCATGTCCGTCTCAGTCCAAGACACGTCCCCTGCTGGCGATGCCAAAGCATCCCCAGCCGAGGTCACCTCCCCTGACAGTCGTGCGTACACTCGTCCATCCCAGCATCGCTTCTAATTGCCCACCTCTTAGACGGCATGTCGTCTCCGCCTCCGTATCCCGTCGTCTCAACGCCTCCATCGTGGTTCCCTCCGCAATGCGTCTACGACCCACTCATTCCCGCGCATGATTATGTTGATGACCAGTATCCTCTCCGGTCAGGCGTGCTGTTCTCCTCCGTGCCGCGTGGCCCCCTCAAGCCTGCCTACCTACCCGCTGCGCCTGATGGTAGCAAGACGTTCTTCTACTGTATTACTGTCGGCGTCAAAGTTGGCATCGTCACTGATGCGTCAGTCCTCCAGTTTCTCTCTTACTCGTCTCTGCTAATTCTACCTTATTTCTTTTAGATCTCTAGCCGCTGAGTTCACGAACGGCGTTTCGGGAGGCTTCAAGAAGAAGCGACACAGTCATTCTGCGCCCTCCAATATTTCAACGAGGACCTTGCTGCCGGCAAAGTCAATATCGGCAAGTGGCGGAAGTCTCGCCGCGACCGGTATGACCCCATTTCTCCATCAGACGTCTTTTTCCAATACTCATGCCTTCCCTAGCCTTGTCTGTGGAACCTGCGTTATAGTCTAGGGAAATATCTGAGCCGGTGTTGACTATCCCCGATTGGTCTTTCGTATCACATGTCCCACGTGTAGTCCCATAAATGCCAAGTTCTTATCGTACGCACTCCCACTGTAGCTACCATGTCGATGCGGACATCCGATCCCCCGCCTCATAGTGAGGATGATGTGATCTGGCTGTTGACCGACTCTGAAGATGAACGCCCGTCTTCCCTCCGCACCTCCAACAAGCCCCATCAACCTAGCCTGCCTCCTGCTATCACCACCAAACAGGACGCTGCGAAAGACGACCTTGCAGAAGATACCCTTGCAGCCGCATTCGCGGGACTAGCTGTGTCTTCCCCTTCCAGGCTGTATGCGGTGAATCAAGGTGGTACCACGCGGATTACCTCTCATTGGTTAGTTACTGTCTGATCTTATTTGATTTTGCGTTGAACATGCGCTAGGTCGGATGCTGGATACTCGCAGCAACAATCGAACGCCCATGTCAGCCGTGTCTCCCCCAAGAAACGTCCCACCAAAAAGCGTGCAGGAGCATATGTCGTTTTTGTGGGTACGATCCCTGGCGTGTACGCCACTTGGTAGTTTCCCTCTTCCTCCTACTCGTGGACAAGTCTAATCAGATTTCAGGGATGCCTGTGAGGCACAGATCTTGCACCAAACTGGCTCTATCTATCAAGGCTATCGCACCCGAACCATGGCAGATGCGGCGTATGACTACGCGTCGAAGCATGGATTAGTTCACCCGACATCAGGGCCCCGAACCATCTACAGCTCCCGACGCGTGCAGGCCCCAGTTCCTGATGTCTGGTCTGCCCAGACACCGCTTAGCGCCGGCGTGCGCCGTAATGCCTGGTATGCCATCTTCGCCGGGACTCGACCAGGACTCTACAACAATTAGTAAGTCTTCGGCTCTTCGTTCGCTCATTTCGATAATTATAGTTGCTTTTATCAGCATCGAAGCTGCCTTCCACCATGTCGGTATTCCTGGCAGCACGCATCGCAGTTATACTAGCTACGAGGAGGCTCTGAAGGAATACGTCGCTGCGTGTGCTGACCGTCGTATTATGCTGTTAACCCCCTCTAAGTAGTCGCAGATCTTATATGTATACTAGAGTAACCACTTCACACAATCTATGCCCACTTTCAGCTCGTATATTTGTGATTACGCCTACAGGATGTCTGCATGATGTGAGGAGTAGTACAACCGGCCATAAGCTCTCTCCTCCTCTAAGGTATTAAAGGACAGATGGAAGTTAATGTTTACAACAGACTCAACGGCATATTCGAACCGTCCATTACGTCGGCGGATATAGTCAAGCAAAGTTCCTTCCCCAACCTGCTCCTCAACCTGCCCCTCGATAGACTTCGCCTTATCCCACCACTTCCGCGGACTTTCACTGGCTTCTATGAGGGCCTTGGAACCGGCGTCGTGGTCGTCCAGATGCTGCATGGCGATTCGACAGAGCTCGTGCGCCCAATCATAGAGGGAGTTGTTTGTATGCGCCATTAGTCCGGCTTCAAGTCGTAGATACTTGCGGCGAAGGTTGCGGGTTAGGTTAGATTCATCAAGACTAGAGTTTCACGAGCTCAGAGTTAACATCCAAGGTTAGCATGTCAAGGACTCACGACGCCTCATATTCGTCGACTGACTCGTACTGCCCTGCCTTTCCAGCCTTCGTTCGCCCGTCTACTGTACGGCTCTCCTTCCTCGCCTGATAACGCTGACGCGCCCTTGCATTCAATGTTTTACGATTACTTAGAAATACACGTTAGAACATCTGAAAACGCGAACTGTTCACCTGTACATACCGTTGCCAATATTGAGCTTTCGTCTCTCTGCGCGCATATTCACGGTCCTCGGCACTTAGATAAACGGCCTTTCGACCCATAGCCAACTCGTGAGCGGATGTGACCGTGAGCCAGGATGATTGCCGGTCCGATGTGTCAAGGTAGGTCGATGTCAAGAAGCAACCGTGTCGATCGCATAATGCAGTAAGGTAAGTCCATTCTCGATCATAAATTCACTAGACTTTTTACTAGTATACCATGTAACGCTCCTTTCCGACCATTCTAAGTACACAAATAATCTTAAATTAGGATGCTAGATACATCCACATTATCATTTCAACCGTAGACACCTTTCTTTTTGTACTTGGGTTCCCTAGACACTTATGAGTATTGTGAGTCTAATACGGCTCTGTCCAAGGTTAGCTGGCAGATAATGCGTGCATTACGCAAGACAATACTATCCGCCGCCTTGAAGACGAGGTCAGACTTGGGACCGAATGAGAATAAAATCCTGTGGGCCATGGGCGTAGTTTGAACGCGTACGATTGATCAGATCGACTGACTTTCAATAGAGCCTTGACTCCAGCCAACTGTCCACCCAAAACAAGCACCAGTGGCTAAGTAGTTACTGTGCTCGATGCACTTGTTGGCCGGCTTCGGGTTCGAGTCCCCGTGTGTGCAATTTGTATGGTTGAGAAACATTTTTAGATAATCCGTTCTCTCTTTTTGGCTTCCACAGCTTTCCCGGACTCAGGACTCCCGCAACATCACTATGAAATTCATATTAATTCTCGACTGGGGTGGTGCAGTGGTCCAGCATGCCGTGGTGGTCCCATGGAGACCTGGGTTCGAATCCCAGTCGCCGGTCATTTTGCTGTCCCTCCACGCTCGCGTAGGCCCAATATCCTTCCTTTTTGGGATTCACGACTTGACCTGAACTACCATCCTGCTTATTGGGTTATCTTCACAACGCGTGGACAACGCGTCCACCAACGGTCGCTCCTTTCCTACTAGATGTTCTGTCTCCCCCCGACACGAATCAACCCGGAACTTTTGGCATTATCCGCACCCCGAAGTACGTTCATGCCCTGACCACCCTCCCTTCCCAATGCATCAGATAGGCCCGGATTCACCGGATTGCCTTAAATAGCGCCTTGGAGGGCATCCTTCGGGCAGATGGCTTCTCCCCCGCTTTCTCCCAGTTCGACGCCGTCGCGCTCCCCCAGCAAATTCCCTCGCGTCAACCTTAGCAGTCGTCTCAATCTAACCACAAAACCTCTCATCCTAGCTCGTTCTCTGGGAGAAAGCCCACGTCCAAGGCAACTTTATTCGTCCCGAAGAAGTTGACGCAACAGACGTTGACGTTCACCAAGGCGTCCACTAAGTCGGCTTTCTTGTGTCGCAAGTGAGTTACATGCTGGCGTTCCGTATCCCCTCTGACCCTCCTCAAGACGCCTAGAGCAGCATGTACGCGTTCGCCGCCCCATTCGCGCAGACTACGAGCTTGGCAATGGTGTCCAAGCCCTTCGTGAGTATCTTGTCTTATTTCATTGTCTGGCGGAAACCTAAAATCGGGACATAGGTGGCCCAGTCGACTCTTTGGATGCTAAGCCAGACCCTCATTTCGTGAAAGCGGCGGAGACACGCTTCATTCACGACGATGTTGGTCATTTTCTGGCTGCATACGACGCGTCGCAGCTGGAGATGAAATTCAAAGCAATGGGGATCTATACCCACAGAGGACCTCGTCACAGTGGCCGTCGATATCCGCACCAATCAGTCTCTTCGCCAGGAGTTCAAAATGGGATTGGAGACGACGGATGCGGTTTGGAGACGCCTCAAGGCGGGCTTGTACCGCTATGCCCGTCCTGCTAAGGCGCCCCGGTAGAATAATTGGTCCTTGTTATCTCGTTTCTGATGGACACGTCGGACATAGAATTCAAGTTGAAAATCGTGCGTTTGCAATTGTTCCTTGCGCGAGAATTTGGAATGTCGGGTAAGCATAAAGTGTCGCTGGTGAGTTTTATAGACACATGGACCCCGTAGATCGCGCAACGATGGTACGTTGTAACTTTGTACCGGCCTGGACGGTGCTCACATTCTCTTAGCGTTCTGGAAGAGACGATGCGACGACATGGGCTAAGGAACACGACACGAAACCCGAGGTGCTCATGCTGTGATGCGCCTCTGAAGGCGGAGTGCATAGGGGTACCGATTGAACGGCAGTCGACCGACGCTGGAGACGCGGTGCAGTGCGAAGAGCTGTTTCATTGTCTGAGCTGTGGGGCCTTCTTAGAATGCCGAACGTGCTGTTTAAAAAGACATGAGCGTGCACCGGTCCATGCCATTCAGGTAAGCCTACACGTTGAATGAAGAGCTCAGTTGCTTATGGCGTGTTTGCAGGTCTGGCGCGACGCGACATGGCAGACGATTTCCCTCCGCGAGATCGGCCTCGTGTATCAGCTCGGCCACCAGGGAGCTAGGTGTCCTGTTCCGGACGCCACGCCTCACATAATGACGGTTATGCACGTCAACGGAGTGCACCAGGTGGAAATGCGGTATTGTGATTGTACGAGTAGTCTGTCGGACGGCGAACATCGGCGCCAGCAGTTATTGCGGAGCGGACTCTATCCCGCCACACCACGATATCCGGACACTTGTGTGACCATCGACATTCTAAATCTGTATCGGCGTCTCCAGACGGTAGAATAATTCATCCTTGTTATCTCGTTTCTGATGGACACGTCGGACATAGAATTCAAGTTGAAAATCGTGCGTTTGCAATTGTTCCTTGCGCGAGAATTTGGAATAACACCTGTCGGGTGAGCATAAAGCATCATTGGTGAGTTTTACAGACCCATGGCCCCCCAGTGTATTCTCGCCGCCCTTTCAATTCCAACGAGGAGAGGACGTTTGGCGTGGTCCGCGCAAAACGGTACGTCGTAACTCTCTAACCGCTGGCACGGTGCTTACATTCTCTTAGGATTGTGCAGCGCGCTCTAGCGGAGTTTCACAGCCCGAGTGCGTCAGGGACGTCCGAGGATGGCTCAGCGAACGTAGAGCTCGTCGCGATGTTCGAGGAGCTGCAAGGAGATGGTTAATCACTCGCCTAGAGGCTTGCCACATTGTATCAAAGGAGGAGCTCGCCCATTTGGGATGGTTATCGTACAATCGCCAATTCGCAACGGTCTTTCGGTTAGCGCTTGGTCTGTCACTGTCCGGTGGTAACTGGCCTCGTCTCGCGCACCTCATGCGCGAGTTCACTGAGCCCCGGAGCACGTACGAAACCGTAGAAGGTACGCATTCGTCCCACCTATTTGTGGGTATGGCTAACGGGCTTGTGAAAGCAGCTTATAATGCACACAGGACGGCAGTTGACTTGAAGAAGCGGGAGGCGGATCAATTGCTTCTACGCTGTGGTGACATCGTCGAAGACGTTACATACAATAGGTTAACACGCCCGGGGTGGGTCACGTATGATACTGGATGCCAGTTCATTTGGACCGCGATGAGGGAGCATAACGACCGAGAGCGGGCATTCGATCGAGCATTTGGTGTAGAGCGCAACGAGGCTGACGCAGAGGAACAAGAGCTTCCAGATCGGGGTGACCGCGATGGGCGGGAAGATAACAAGGTGATTCGCAGGGTTTGGGTAGATACTTGGGGACAGAGGCAATCGAATGGCACTGGGCCCCTCGGTAGTCGAATATTATGATTATTGTACGTTGCTGTACCTGCTAAGATAACGAAAGACAGAAAAGAAAAGAAAGGACATCACCAAGAATCGAACACGTGACCATGGACGAATTCGGCGCAAGTGACAGCTAATTTGTCCTTGATCAACGTTTAAACATTGACCCGCTTGCCCACCATGTAGCCGTGTATATAGCATGGGGTAGCCTCGTGCGGGAGCGTCCTTCCCTTATGCAGGCGTCTCGCAATCCCGGAGGGCGTCCTCGCGCAAATCCAGTCTTTTCCCGACCGGCCAACGCCCCGCTGTGCATGATCATTCGATACATATCGACCACGCCGACAGAGTGTCGTCTCAAGCTGTGCCCAACGTGGATCACTCTGACGGTAGGCGGCCCTCGGACTTGCAGGATGAGTACGCGCAAGCGGAATTTGAGCCGTTGCTCCCTCCCGAACCCATTTACGCTCAGGACGATAGGGATCACGATGATATCGATTCAGAGCAGGAGGAGGAGGAGGAGGAGGAGGATGCTGGTGGCAATAACGACACTACTGAAGGCGGGACAGCCAAGCGGAAGCGCTATGCCAGTTCGGTAGGCTTGGTCTCATCACGCTCTTTTTTTCTGACTGAACACAACACCAGGATCAGCCCATGGAGGAATGGAAGCCATGGCTGACTGCTTTTTTGAAGAGACGATTCGACGACATGGCTGGGGAATGCGACACGAACCCTAGGTGCTCATCGTGTGATAGGCGTCTGAAGGCGGAGTGCATTGGGATAGCGATTGAACGGCCGTCGACCGAGGCTGGAGACGTCGACGAGTGCGAAGAGTTGTTTCGTGTCAGAGCTGTGGGGACTTCTTAGAATGCCAAGCGTGCTGCTTGCGTAGGCACGACCGAGCACCAGTCCATGCTATTCAGGTAAGCCTACACATTGAATGAAGGTCTCATTTCTTAATCGCGGATGTGCAGGTCTGGCGCGACGCGACATGGCAGACGATTTCCCTGCGCGACATGGGCCTTGTGTATCAGCTCGGCACCAGGGAGCTAGGTGTCGTGTTCCGGACCCCACGCCTCACATAATGACCGTTATGCACGTCAACGGAGTGCACCAGGTGGAAATCGGTATTGTGGTTGTAGCGTGTCCGACGGTGAACATCGCTGGCAGCAGTTACTACGGAGCGGACTGTATCCGGCTACAACGCGATATCCTGCCACTTGTGCGACTGTCGAGGTTCTAAATCTGTAATCGGCGTCTCAAGACGATTGCGACTGTCAATGTGCGGGACTTCGTGACCACTTAGAAGACCAGACAGATCCTTACGGGACGTCTTGGACTCCGGACCGCTATAAGGCGTTCCTGCGCATGGCGCGACAATGGCATTTCTGCAGAGAGTTCGACGATCGGGTATCTGTCATGAGGATGGGGGACTGGCGGAGGCGGAGGACGGCGCGATTCGAGTGGAATGCTGGGCATGTCCTCGGGTGGGAGTGAACTTACCTGAGGATTGGGAGACTGTGCTCGCCGAATATCAGTACGTGTGATGTCTTTTTTTGTGGCGTTAGACTAACATGATTTAAGATATCTGTATAGACGCATCGTCTCACAGGATGCCAACTTCCGCATGCGTTGCAAGATGCGGTCCTCGCCATATGTCGATCTGCCGCTGTACGATGGCCTGGGCGTGCAAATGCCTACCGAACTGTACCACGAGTGGTTGCGAAAGTATATTACAGAGGAGGAGGTAAGTCACCGACGCTTTACCGTTTCACGCATAGTAATTGATGGTCATCAGATATCGTCATGTGTGGCGTTCGCAGCTCTCATGCAGAAGGACACGCGGTTTTCAGTTGGACTTCGCTGGGCTGGCGTCATTGGCGTTATTTGCGCTCGTCACGAGATAATGTTGGGACTGGGCGACTTAGAAAAGGGCGAAAGGTAAGCATTCGGCAGATTGTCTTGGCAGAAAACTAACATTGTTGACTAGATATAAAAATACAGATTTTGTTTTATATTGGGTACTGTCGAAGATGGGCCTGAAGGAAGTTACTGTGACGTACGACATTGCGTGCCAATACCGAAAGCACTTCAAGGAGAGGATCGAGGCGTTACCGGACGTATTGAAGAACTTGGACCTCCCGGAGATTCAGTGGGCTTGCCCATTTGGCATGGAGGCGC